CATCATCTCCCTAGTACAACATGCAGTCATTTGGACAAGCATCTATTTTTATATAATCAAGACAAAGTTTTTTGATGGTTTTCTTGGCCTCATAAAAAGAATCAGGGATACTTGCAAATTTAAATGCATCTCTCAATAGATCTAGTATCATAGTCATTCCCTTGTCACTTAGCCCAGACAAACTCTTTATATGATACAACTTTAACACAAACTCTAGCTTTGAGTACTTGGAACCTTCATACAATTCTTGACTTCCATCTCTAAGCAACTCAAAAAAGTCTTTACTATTTGAAGCAGGCATATCATTTAACATTTCTTCTTCTCTCCCTGTTTGTGATGAACCTACATCAATACCCTCATGTCTTAAGCCCTGAAATGCTTCATTAATCAATAAGTCCACTGGATTTTCAACAAGTAGTGTATCTTGAGTGACCTCTATGTTATTAAAGTTCTGCAACACATTTATTTCGCCATGAAAAACCCAAGTGACATAATCTTGAGGGAATGGCTTGCAGATTAAATGATCGAACACTATGTCTCTAGTCAACCACTTTGCAAAATCACATTTAGGACATGGACATTTTATTCTATCTTCTATAGCTCCATTTTATAAATGCAAAATCTAAAAATTGATTCAATCCAAACAAATATTCATTTGTGTTCCTTGACAATCGAATCCAAGATTTATCCATTGAAAAAGTATTTGGAAAGATGTGAAACCTCTAAGAAGTGCAGCTAATGACCAAAAATCAGTTAGTATGCCACCAGTAAGAACTCTTCTAATCAGGAGAGTTTGATATAACCTACAAGATTTTCACGAGGAACAATAATTTAGTAACCTGTCAATTTTATAAGATTAGAGACATACTTTACAATTTTATAAGCTAAATAAAAGGGAATGTGAAGTTGGCTAATTATCTAGCATGACCAACAATGAGAACATATTTAGGTGAATACAGTAAAATATCATTGTAGGGAAGAAAAATAATGACGGAGAGCAACTGATGTTAAAGATTTAATAACATGAGCTAATCTCACAGAACCTCAAGAACTTGTTGCAGAGCATGACACATTTCTATAGTTCTTTTAGAGACAAAATTGAAAAATAAGACAAGAACTACCACAAAAAAGTTATGTTCAACAATATGCTATCAGGTGTCTAATGCCTCTCCAAGAAGCAAAGCATAAAACAAAATGCTGAGGAAGAGAGCTCATCATTCTTTCTTTTCTGACCTAGTTGTTTAAGCAAAGAATGTAACCTACAACAACCAACGAAGAGGGAACATTCTTCCTAGTGGGATGAAAACGATTCAATTCAAACAAACAGAATTCATGAACAAGCGTTGCACAGTGCATACGCCAATAGAAGTAGTAATAACTGTCAACATTCATCCACTTCATGACCGTTCACTCAAATTTGCATCTCATGTTCAATATTTTCAAATCAATACATGTTATTATCCAAACATGATATAGATAAGGTCAAATAGATCTATGGGTGAATGGCATAAATACTGGCAGTTCTATCATTTCAGAGGAATAAAAGTACAAAGGCATTTGAGACTTACCTATTCAAACAACTAAATAACTGAAATGAGCCAAATAAAGGCAGAAATAGATAAATGTGTTCAGCAAATCCAGAAACTAAGCCCAGCAGCACATCTCCTTTAACAGCTTAAAATACCAATGAAATCCCAGAAAAGTGAAGCAGAAATAGTAGCAATTAGAAGAAAAGTGCAACTTTGAATCTTTCTGTTTTCTATTTCTGAAATGAGCCAAATCTTCTTTTTCTTAGAATAATTTTTTGCAGTATAAGTTACAGTTAACGAATTCTTTGACGATCATTGATTTCATTGATTGTAAACCTTCGTTTCCATTGTTGTTACAAATTTCCAGCAATGGCGTACAGAGAGAACCTAAATCAAACCGCGTGCAAAACTACTAAAATTGGAGCAGAGAGAACCTAATCAAATCACGTACAGAAACTACTGAAATTCAGATATTAGGAAAACATAATAAAAACCCTAATTTGACCTTTCAACAGATTAGGAAGGAGAGGACAGAGAGCTCCAATTCGAGTTGTACCTTTTGCGACGAGATTCAGCTACAAGCACACTTCAAAAGTAATTGCTGAAATTCAGATTACACAAATTAAAATCGCACAGATATCAAACTAAGACGAATTAGAATCGGATATCAACTACTTTCGCAATGTCAATCCCAAAAAATCGCACAGATAAATTACTTAAATCAATGATAATTCAAATAATGGGACATTAAAGAGAGAAAGAGAACTTGCCATTTCAGAAGAGAGAAAGAATTTCTCTGAACCCTAAATCGTTAGAACCAAGGAGAGTTTTGAGAAAGATGAGCGCCTTTATTAGGGCTTTTTTTTATCAAGCTAAAAAGAAGAGACTGAAAAAAAAAAAAAAGAGAAGGTCAAAATAATGAAGGAAATATTGTGATTGTTAGCGCCTTTTTTTTTAACTAGCGGAGGTTCTAGATGCCGCAAATTAAATTTTAGAGCGGAGGTTAATAAGGCTCCCGTAATTAGATCCAATTTGGGGGCTGTTTTTTTGTAGTGATTGTTGTTGTGTTGCTGGAGCTGCCTCTACAATGTAACACATGCACTAATCTAGAAAGAGACTAATAACAGTCATGTTGTAAAGTATCATCCATACAAAAAGTTATTGAACCAAACATTTTGTCTGATATCTCTGGAGATATTTCTTAAAGTTCAGATATATATCTTTTGAAGTCTGTTCATCTCCATCTTCAAACTGGAAAAAGGGTTTAAACATATGATATCATGTCTTTTAATATCTAAAATTTGAGGTTGTTGATCCATGACTAGTGATAATCAGTGGCTGGTAAATGCAACATTGCTGTCCCCCATATCTAAAGTTTTCGTTGGTACAAAGCAAAGATTAGTTAGACAACATCTACCTCAGAAAATATCTAACGTATCTGACGAAGGCTGTGTTAGGTCAGAGGGGAGCCAGCATTGAAACTTATGGGTTATGTATTTTAATTCTTTTAAGTTACTGTGTTCTAAATTAAAATACAATAATTTTTTAAGACGAATATTGAATTTAAACGAAAGTTACTGGGTTCAGCTGAATCCATATCTGAAGGGCTAGCTCTGCCCCTGTGTTAGTTAATCAGTGGATCGAATGAGTACGGGGCCTAAAACGGAATTGTTATTAGAGATATTTAGAGGCAATGATGTTAATTATAGTTTCAAGTCAACTTCTTCTAATATTTTCTTTTTTATTGATAATATAGCCAATTTATTTAATTGTTCTTGAGATATTATTGATATTAAGTAATCTTTTATTAATTTCACTTTCGAAAAACATTTTTTCTTGGGGAAAATTTCTTTATTTTTCTGTGAGTAATATTATATAGGCATGTGAAAGAAGAATTAAATCTTTTTATTTCATGAAGTATATCAATTAGAGTACGTGTACAATTTTTCATAGTACTTTTGTTACAAAATTAAGCCCAAAAATCAATATGAAGCTAATTATCTAAAAGTATGTACAAAAGCCACTGTAAAGTGAAAACTAATCCAAGTTAAAGAGAATAAGAGGAAGGAAGGAGGAAATAATTAAGTGTTTGCCATTCAATGTTTGGAATTATGCCATAATGATTATTGACATAGCAAATGATAAATCAATGTATTTACTTACTATTCTAAAAAATTATAGGAGTAATTATTTAACCTACTTATTATATATGTAATTTGAGTGATATTTGGGCCCTATATTTTTTGGAGCCTAAAGCCTTGGCTTTAGCTGCCTTAGGGGTTGAGCCGTCCCTGCAAGTAATTAGCACAAACACATGCACGCATGCGCATACACGTAATAATACACATATATACACATTACTATATATTTGTATAGTATGTCGGGCATGTGTGGGTATATTTATATAATTTTACGGTACTTGTTATGATAATATTTAATGTGAGAGATCGTTATCTCTCTTTCGTCAATTAGATGATGTTTAGCTTTGTTCCCGTTCCAATTTAACTTTTGTCTTCAACTAAAGTATTGTGTCTCAGAATTGAAAAACTAAACAGAGAATGGACAATGATTATTTTATTTGGAAAATCAAATCATTGTATTGATTGGAAAATAATATAGTCATCGGGGTCCTACTAGCATGTGCTCAAAAGAATATTGTGTTCAACAATTCCTCTCATCTTATCAAACAATACACTTGATTACATCATTGAAACTAATAATTCTCGTTTGTGTTTGTGTGTTTATATATCAATTTTTTTTAAAAATAATATTAATATACCGTAATATTTCTTTTCATTCATAAATAAAATTTGGAAGGAAAAAAGAACAGAAAATAAGAAATATGACTATAGAATAAGCATGTCAGTAGCCGTCATGGCAGTGTATACAAGGCAATATGGGACCTATTTGTAACCAAAATTTCAGCAGAAATTCTCCACATTGATGGCTTCCACTTATCAATCAGAGTTGATATTTTTAGTCATCCACTTTAAATTTGATAAACAGAAGTAGTGGTCACGATAGGTGAAATAAGAATTTATACATTATAAATTTTAATATTTAAGGCTTTTAGTATGAATAACTTGTATGCTTAAAAGTATGTTTAAAATTTGATATTTGTCGAAATTTTAATACTCCATAGCTTTTTATAATATGTATTTATGTTATATGTGCTGAAAGTACTAGATTCAGTTGAACTTGAACCCATTGCATGTATATTGCATGCACCCTTTAGTGATCATTTACCTTAGTCAAGTCAAATACATTGTTCTCTAAAGAGTTTTGAGAGTTAGGTTTTTGTGTCGCGTGACAAAAAATATTTATAAATTAAAGTACCATACAAAGAACTTTGGATAAGAGGAAACTTCTCATTGACTGAAATGAAGAGCCAACCTTCCATGCAAGGCAATCTGGCACAAAATGCCTTGGTATTACAAAGACTGTTTTGCTATACACTATCTTTGACCAAAATGAAGAAAGAAGGAATTAATTTTCATCTTGTCATTAATTCTTAAACATCACATAGAAATTTATCAGGTGCAAATTTAACACCGCTGATCAAAATATTAAGTACATGTGATTGTACAAACTCACCCCCTAAAGAGTTAGATGGGGTTTCTTTCTTAGTTGAATTTAATATTCACTTGATACCATTGTGTCTGACTAATGAAGGACGGCTTGGCACACTAAGTTCCTGTTGTGCACGTGATCCGGACTTCAGAGAAGAGTTAAATAACATTAGGTCTTCTGTATGCAGTCTTGCTTTTCATCTCTTCAGTAGTGGCTCACTGATAATTTTCAAGTAAAAAAATATATAAGAAAAAGATCATCAACTCAAGTCCATACATTTTTTATCTGAGCATTGATATTAGGGAGCAAAAATCCTCTTCATCACAAGGGATAGTAAGTCCCATATAATGATTGAATCCAAATTCTTCTTCGGCCCTTTGAAGCAAACTCTGAAATTCAGGATGTGTCAACCAAGAAATGGGAATTATGTATCTGCTTCTATTTTCACCTACATATACAACAAAGTGGCCTTTTGGGACATCTTGAGGGTATCCATTCTCATTCTTTCCGAGGCTTGAACACCTTTTCATAATTTGTTTGAAAGCTGCAGTTTGAGTAAAGTGTTTGCTTGATTTCTTTAGAGCCATTTTGGATCTTGATATGAGAAGAATTAAGGGGGAAAATATTCAATTGGGGTGGCTGAAAGTTTTGTTTTTTTTGAGTTGTGTGGGGAAGAATTGGAAGAAAGGAGAGTATTTATGGGGGAAATAGAAAAACAAAGGCACATGAAATGTGTGGGAACAAAGGAACTAAATTGCTTTTGTTTAGGGATTAGTCTTGTATAAGGGCATCGAGTCTCTTTTGTTCTTTCTTCCATTGGTCCTATACCCTACTTTTGTCACCCCACCTAAAAACACTAGATTGGACCACTCACCTCCCTATTGCTAACACCCAGCCATGTTGACTGGTGTTTTTTTTATCTTTAATAAAAAAAGGCCAGCTCGATGAAGGCTTTTAATATAATATAAATAGCAACGGAAATACTTTCTCTATGTGACCTATGGGTTATAGGTTCGAGTCTACTGAAAGCAGCCACTAATGCTTGCGTTAGGGTAATCTGTCTACATCATATCCCCTAAGGTGCAGCCTTTCCCCGGTCCCTACATGAATATGAGATGTGTTGTGCACTGAACTACCTTTTTTTTTATAAATAGCAATGGGGTTATGAAGAAGTATTTTGCAGGTAAGTATGTAAGTCGTGGGAGGCGCCAGGATAGTACAGGAATTAGGGGGTAATGAGGGTACATTTTGTACCTGCATATATAATTACTCCCTCCGTTTCAATTTATGTGAACCTGTTTGACTGGGTACGGAGTTTAAGAAAAAATGAAGACTTTTGGAATTTGTGGTCCTAAACAACTCAAAAAGGGGCCCAGAGTATTTGTGTAGTTATAAAAACTTCTCATTAAGGGTAGAATTGTAACTTTAAGCTAAATTGTTTCCAAATTTAGAAAGGGGTCATTCTTTTTGGAACGGACCAAAAAGGAAATAGGTTCACATAAACTGAGTTCCAGAGATATATTATAGTTACTTTGTTGGAAACTATCAAGTTCGTTGGATTTTAGGGTATCCTGTTTGTGATTTAAGTTAAAGGGGTTTCATGATATGTATTACCTTTGAAGTGGGACCTTCCGAAAAAAAAAGCGGGACCTTCTCGGTTCTTTTTGACCTTTGTTCTTATACTCCTAAATAAGGATGCCCAAAATTTTAATTATATTAACTGTCGGGTATATAAATCTCACTAGTTTGTGTAATTCAACTTCGTGATGTTAAAAGCGGACCTAGCTAATTTGAATTTGCATTGGATAAGTTCTTTAAGGTGAGTAAAACTACTTCTTCCGTCTCATATTATCTGTCATGATTCTTTTGTACACGCCCCTTAAGAAATATTAGTTAAGATAGGATTTTGACTACATTGCCTTTACTAATGCCTTAATATTTAATCTTTTTTCATTGGATATTTTCTCAATTTATGTGTCATCTCCATTATTATTGATTGTATTGTGTGAAATATGATAAAATGTATAAGAAAACAAGGTTGACTTATGAAAAATGCATAAATACCCCCATTCAACTTGTACTGAAAAATTATTTACACACCTAAATCTATAAGGATGTCCTTACACCCACTATTGTTACAATAATTGTATTTACTTACTCCCTCTTAAGCTCTGGCCAGCCACGGGTCTCGGACAATGTTTATGAGCGCGTATTTGCACTCTTTTAATCGTTAAAAACACCCAAAAAAAAAAGAAAATATTAAATTTTTAACTTCAATATAATCCCAACAAACGGTAATATCCATTCTTCCCCAATTTTTTACCAAACCCAAGTGAAGTACCCTAATTTCTGTTTCATCTAAATTCTGCTAAAATTGCATCAAATTCCCCTTTGAAGTTTTGATCTTTGAAAGCAAAGGTTAATCTTTCTCCTCCTTAAGAACACTAATTTCTTTCTGTTATTATTGTTTTGTCTTTCTTCCAAAATTCAATTTCTCTCGGTAAAATATTGTAATGTTGCTGATGTTTCTAATTTTTTCGTCGGCAAATTATCTGACATTGGTATCGTCTGTTTGTGTTATAGTTGTTGCAATGCCTTAAAAAGGCTTGAATTTGACAAGGCTTTACATGGAACAGGAAGAAAATGAGTCAAGTGGAGAAATTTGATGCAACTATGGGTATGTGCTGCCTTTGTTAACAGCTTGAACCCCTCGGAACTCAGGAAGAAGATATTGGGTTTGTCCATACTATGGGGTAAATAATAGTGAAAATTCTTTCAATAATTGAGTTACGAAATAATATCAATGATTAATTTTATTTTGTTATTCATCTTAGGGTCCACGATCTTGTGATTATTGGGTTTGGAAGAATTCCGAAATTGATCCTAGGTCGAAATTTGTTATTCCAAAATCGCTTGACAAAATGGGTGAACTTGAGACTGCATTAGAAAGCTTTGAAAATCTTGCCAAGCCGAGGGCAGCTTTAAAGGTTGAAAACACCACAGAAGGGGAGAAGATGAAGAAGACTGAGGCTTAATTAGTGAAATTGCAAGTTGATATGGAGAAGATGAAAGAGACGGAAAAGAAGTGGAAGAGCAAATTGGCTAGGAAAAATGTACTTTGGTTCATTATCTTGGAGATATGGTTATACTTGTTGCTCGTAGGTTTCCAGGAATGTCATTGAAAGAAGATACAATGAGGTTGTCATTTTGAATATAATTTTCTCATCTCAATATGTATGTAGTTGTTGCTTGTAGGTGTCATTTTGTATGTTTGTAATGGACCAAACTGTAAGTAATGAAGTATTGTTTCTAATAAAGTGTTGTTTGAATGTGTGAACTGTTGTAGGTGTGTTCTTGATGTTTCTTTGTATGACTAGAACTTGGCAATCAATCAAGAGTGTATCTTCATACAGCTATTTTTAGTGTTTAATCACAACAATAGACAGACAAGAGATTTAATATGGCAACTGCATAAATAGTATAAAAATAAATATTTGGTCTTATTGACCTGAAAGAAACAGACCTAATAAACTGTCACAGCTGCATATTTAGTTACATAAACACTTTTTGTTCTCATTGTAGCAGCAGCAAAACAGACATCATACGATAATAAAATGAGAAATGCAGTCTATAGCTGCCTAATCTTTATCATAATATAGAAATGCAGTATATAGCTGCCTAAAAATCCATATCATAATGCAGTCTATTGCAGTACAGTCAGTCAAAAAACAGTCTCTTGATCAATTGGGTGGTTTTGTACTGGTGCTTTTCTGGCTCAACTTAGCAACCCTAGACCTTGCTTGAATAATTTTGTTGCCTCTCAATTGTTGAAGCTGCCTTGATGTCATAGCTTCTTTGCTTTTCCATTTAACACCTCTCGTTAGTTGATGGCGTAGATCTCCAGTTACTTCTGCTGAAGATCTCACATTCTTAAAGTTTGTAGAGGACATTCCAGGCTGCCAAAATCCAACAGAAAATCAGCAAATGAATTTACCTAAATATGAGAGGTAGTATTAGAACTTACATTTTGAAGTTTGAAGCCACTTTGAGTGTGTAAAACTCTCATACCAACCATCCTTGGCCTGTTATATTGTGTTCTTACATCACTGCTAGTGCCAACATTCTACATCAACCAATTAAAAGTAAGAATCTGTTAATAATTTAAAAAAGAGAAAGATGACATTAAAGAAAAGAAATTCACCTTTTCTTTAGAACCTTTTGGCCTACCCCTTTCTCTTCCAGTACTTTGCTTTGGTGGCTTTCAACTACCAACACATGCAGGCACAGAACTTACTGAAGTAGCAGCAGTATTACTTGCAGCAGCTTTATGACATCCCCTCTTGTTATGACAATTGCTGCATGTCATTTTCACTCCACTATTGGACAATTTTCCTGTCTTATTTTCATCTGGCTCTTTTCTTCTCACCTTTTTTGTCCTGCCTGGCATCTTCTTGGCATAAGGTGGTATAACAGTTGGGTTTCGTGAGTCTAGCCACATATTCATACCCAAAACAGGCTAAAGAATATAACCGTATATTTTCATGTAAGTGGCATTACTGTACCAATGAGAAATATAGTTCAAAGGCTCTATTTTTATAAAGCAGGGCAGCAACTGCATGAGCACATGGTATGCCTTTTAACATCTAAGCTCTGCAGGTGCATGTTTGCCTGTTGAGGTCCACCAGGTGCTTCACTTCACTTGCACCTGATCCTTGCTTCACTTCAAATTCAAACTCACCATTCTAGAAAATGTTACATTTCATTGATCTTTGTGTGTTCGCTTCCAAGACTCTCATGGCCATTGGTGAAAAATTAGTAATCCAAGTATTTCCAAACTGTCTGAGTTGACCTATTCTGTTCATCATCTTTACCCTTATTTCTTCAAGCATTGTCTCTATAGTCTTCTGCATCCAAATTTTTCTTCAACTCCCACTTATAGGTAGACCATGCACACCTCCAAAAATAGTTTCTTCTCTCTATGCCCCTCCATTTCTTAGACCAGTTAGCTAGGATGTGCCTTGCACATATCCTATGTTCAAAATTTGGAAGTAGATCTGTTACAGAATTCTCAAGACCTTGCAAAATGAACAGTGATATTTAGTCTTAAAGTTAATTAGCAGTAGGAAAATAACAATAAACTTCAAGCTGACGATCATCCTTTAAAGGGTTGACAAACCACCTCCAAGTGTGCATATTTTCAATCTCAACAACAGCCCAAGCTAGTGGAAGCATCTAATTATTTCCATCATTACAAACTGCTACAAATAGTTAGCCTCTACATACCCCTTTTGAAAAACATCCATCCAGCCCAATGCATGGCCTACAACCTACCAAGTAGAACTTCTTCTTTGCATCAAAACAAATATAGAACCCAACAAACATTTTTTTCCCACCTTCAAATGTTTCATCACTAAGCTTCACTACACATGTATTCCCTGGATTAGATCTAAGAAACTCATCTCTAAAATCTAATATTCTGCCATACTCTAGTTTATGGTCACCCATTATCTCATTCAACACAATATTTCTTGCCCTCCTACAAACGGTCCTCCCAATATACAATCCTAATTTTTTTCTAATAATCTCCTGAAACTTGAATACTCTAATGTTAGGTTGTTCTTTTATCCTCTCATTGAACCTTTTGGCCAAGTATTTTGAATTACATAGCTTGTTTCTATTAGTAGAGTCAT